GCAATTCAGTAGCTCAGAGGCATCATCAAAGACCAACATTCTTTTTGTTTTTTTGCCCTGCTTTTTCAGTACATTGTTTTTTCCTCAGGATTTTCTCCCCATGGTGGAAAGTTGTCTGTAGCATTTTTAGGTGTTACATGCAGATACAACTTCAAGCAGAAGATATCCATTTCCAATTATATATCTCTTTTTAACGGATTCCTCCCAAATGACATCCCTTAAAAATCTCATTGGCCGGAATTGGATCTAAAGCCGTTTCTTAAACTAACCACTGGTAAGAACAATATTAACTAGCTTAGATTGATTAGCTAAAATTGACTAGCTTAGACTGAATACTATTCACCCACTGGAGTTGAACAGGGGGTTAGCCCCTTCTGAAGCATGAGACAATCTGCTACATAAACATAATGGGAATTCTGTTAGTTAAGAATGAAAAGAGTATATATCTGTCACAGGAACCAAGCACTAAGTCAAGTGATACTTAGGAGTTCAGAAAAAAAAAAGAGAGCTCCTTGTGAGCTGAAAAAGTCAGAGAAGAGTTCTCAGAGGAGGTAGAACTTGAACTGTGTTGGGAATGAAAAGAATTTTTTTAACCAGAGGGAAGCTATAAAGCCTGGATTTCTGACACTCAAGTCAGAGAAGTCCTCAAGAGAACAGTAGGACATTGGAGGTCATCTCTACAACACTGTCATCTTATACTGTCAGCCCACATGTCTATTATTCCAGCTCCTTGCTGTGGAGTACTCAGCTGTAAGTTCCCAGTATCATTGGAAAAGAATGTAAAACAAGGATCTTTAAAACAAAGAGAATTGCTCCAGCCTAACTACGGGAGAGCATAATGTTACACAGATGCCTCTAGTGGTAGCAAACCCTAAGCATGCTTTTTCCAGGGAGCTGATTGTTCTTTCAGGCTAAGTGCTAGCATAAGTACTATTGAAGAACTGTTTCATTTGCTGTTATTTAATAAGATAAAGTTTATTTTGGGAAAGGTATCTACTGTCCATTTCCACGTTAAACTTCTGTAAAGGCAGCAACGTTAATAATTCTCAGCGCTGGTTCTGTAGCTAGTGTACCCTCTCTAATAGCTGATTAGAGAAGCAGCCAATCTAGGTCTGGCCACAAGCACAACCACGAATGAGATTAACTTAAGTTCTTTATTAAAGCAGAGAGTAGTGTTTGACATATTTGAAAAGATTTCCATAAAAAGAGTTGAAATAAATTGTTTGCTGCTCAGGAAATTTCTCTGTGCTGCTATATTTAAGTGACATTTCTCAAAGAGGCTGGCTAAAACAAGCATTTCCTGTAGTCTCCAGATTGAAATTGTCATTGCATTTTAGTGAAATGTGTCATGCTTATTTGTGGAAAATATGGATCTGACTTATTCAGCAAATCTCTTATTTCTTCTCTGTTTAACAGTAAACATCCTGGTGCAATGTATACTATAGTGGAACTACTGAACCAGTAACAGACAGATGTTCTCCTATATCTTCCACCACCAGAGGGGAAATGGGGCTCCCATTGTCCAGAATGAACAATTCCCTTGGTAGAAGAGTCTTGGACCGAGAATACGGAGAATTGATATGGAGTACCTGCTTTTCTACTACTTACACAGTTGTAGTCCAGAGTTGTTCATTAATCTATAAAATGAGGGGGTAGACTAGAATGATCTTGAAACTTCCTTGGATTTCTAACATGCTTCTGTTAATACAATGAGATGAAGTATAAGCATTTCTAAATTTGATGAAAAAGATAAACATAAATATATTGATCATGTATTAATGTATAACAAATTACCCCAAAACTTAGTGGCCTACAACAGCAATAAACCCTTACTAGGGTATACAGTTTGAGACTTGGGAACTCAGGAGTGGCTTACAGTAGGGTAGCTCTGGCTCAGATTATTTTGTGAAATTATAATCATGATGTCATCCAAGGCTGCAGTCATCTGAAGGCTTGTCAAGGGCTGAAGGATCTGCTTCCAAGGTGGTCACCCACATGGTGGCAAGGTAGTGCTGGCGGTTGGCAGGTGGCCAGAGTTCCTTGCTATGTGAACCATTTCATAAGACTGCTTGAGTGTCATCACAACATGGCATTTGATTTCCCTCAGAACAAGTGACCCAAGAGGGAGCAAGTCAGAAGCTTCGATGTCTTTTATGACATCACTTGATCATGAAAGCTAAGAAGTCTCACAATAGGCTGTCTGTACAATGGGATGCCGGTAGCATGGTTGACTGCAAGTCCAAAAGTCTCAGAACCAGGGAAGCTGATAGTGTAATTCTCTTAAGTTCTAGGCTTCAGAGGGAGATATAGTACATCACAGACAAATGATCATTTTCAATTCAATTCAATGTATTGGGAGTCTGAGGCCAAAGGCCTGAAAACCCAGAGATTCCACTGGTGCAAGTCCGGGAACTTGAAGGCTGAAGAGTCTGGAGTTCTGACGTCCATGGATAGGAGAGAAGAGTGTATCTCAGCTCCAGCGTATAGAGAGAGACATTCACCTTTTCCTGTTTTTGTTCTCTCCAAGCCCCCAGCAGATTGGATGGGGTCCACCCACATTGAGGGTAGACCTTCCTTATCTAATTCCCTTAGGCTCACATGCTAATCTCCTCTGGAAATATCTTCACAGACACACTCCAAAACAATACTTTGCCAGGTTTCTTGTTATTCTTTAATCCATTCAAGTTGACACCTAAAATTAACCATCACAGTAGGTCAACCCTATTTAGTGTGAGAGAGAACTACACAAAGTCATCAATACCAGGAGGCAAGAATCACTAAGGGCCATCTTGGAGAAAGGCTATCAGAGCACTTGAAGTCAGTAAAACAAAAGAAATGGTCTTTATTTTATAACGTACTCATAAAAAGCCATATTTCACCTTTTGTTTAAGAAAAGTTCAAAATGACATGACACAACTATATATTTTATTTATCTGAATATTGTGAAGTCCCAATGCATTGAATTGAATTGAAAATGATCATTTGTCAACGTACTCATAAAAAGCCATATTTCACCTTTTGTTTAAGAAAAGTTCAAAATGACATGACAGAACTATATATTTTATTTATCTGAATATTGTGAAGTCCCAATGCATTGAATTGAATTGAAAATGATCATTTGTCTATGATGTACAACACTCCCCTCTGAAGCCTAGAGCCTAGACCTCCCTTTTTAAAATTGTAACTTGATGTTACTGTCTTTGGGGGCATCTCTAAGTGAAAGGGTATTAGCTAGTTCTCTTCCTCCCACCACACATTCACACACTTTGCTGGCAGCTGAATAGGCAGTAATTGAGGGAGGCAATTGGTGGGGGAAATGAATTCTGGCCAACTGCTAAAAATGGAAATCTCAAAACCAGCCCATAACACCCTCCCTTCAAAAGATCACATACAATAACTAACATGTCTATCTACTGCTACCACACTACTAGATTTTCAGTGACAATTCTAATTTTTAAACTTTTTTCTCACTGTCCAACTGTAGGTAAAAGAACATAGATCTGGTTGTCAAATGGGCCCAAATTCAAATTGCTACATTACTGTTATTTAAGTGACCCTGGACAAGTTAGGTAACCTGTGGGAACGTCAAGTTCCTTATGTAATGTGAATATGCAGCCATCATGTGGCCCAGTGTTTGGTCTTGAAAATATGATTGCTGAATTATACATGTTTCTCCCATCCTCCAGGTGCCCTTCAGTGACATCCCCCTCTCCCTGCCTGCTTTATTGTTTTTTTTCTGGCTGCTGGCCAGTAGGGGGTTCTGAACCCTTGACATTGGTGTTATCAGACACCTTGTTCTCCCAAGTGACCTAACTGGCCAGCCCTTCCCCCTTTTTAAACCTTTTGCTGGTCTGAATTTTGGCACTAAATAATTTTGGAACTTTGGACAAATAACTTCAATGAACCATTTTTTTTTTCATTTATAAAATAGCAATGTAGTTTTTGCTTTAAATACCTCACAACCTTATTTTGAGGATTATATTAAAATAATGGGTCAATGGCTCTGTAAACTTTAAAGTCTTGGTCAGAAAACTGTTTTGATTTTCCCCCGAAGTGCTTGTTTCTGACTATAAAAGCAACATCTTCACTATATACAATTTAGAAAACTCTTAAAAAGTACATTTAGTAATTAAAATCATTTGTACAATTTTCCATAACTCAGAGGTAAAAAATTAATAACCATTAATATTCCAATTTTTTTTTTTAGTATAAACTAACTCAGCAAAGAACAAAAACATTTACAATTTTCCATAACTCAGAGGTAAAAAATTAATAACCATTAATATTCCAATTTTTTTTTTTTAGTATAAACTAACTCAGCAAAGAACAAAAACATTTAATTACGGAAAGTTTCAATCTTACACGAAAGCATAAGTATAGTATTATGAACTCTCAGATACCCATTCCCCAGCTTCAACAATTATTAACTTTGTCTCATCTAAACCCCAACTGCCATCCCCAATTATTTTGAAGCAAATCCCCAAACATCACATCATTTCATCTGCAAACATGAAACATATGTCAATATGTTTCTGCAATAGATAAGGAACTTTAAAAACAAAATCACAATATTAGTATCACATATAAAAATTAACCATAATTTATTTCTTAATATCATGATGTCCAGTCAGTGTTCAAATTTTCTCCACAGTCTCATGTTTTTATACATTTTTTTAAATAACCACACGTTTCGCCCTTTTCCATCTATTTTAAGACGTTGGTGTTCCCTCCACCCTCCTGGGTGTCGCGCTTGCCTCCTTGCTCGCACCCCTACAGTAGCACCTGAAAGCGCCTAGAGCGTCCCCCAGCAACAACAGAGCTGCAGAGCACCGTAAGACAACACGCTGGAGACTGGGGCCCGCGGAACCGAAATCGCGCCTCCCCTGCGAGCTCTGGCGGGAGCTCTTGTTCTGGTGCACTGAGGGCGATCTGTGCAGACGCGATTGGCAACGGGAAGCGGAAGCGCTCCTGAGTCTCCAGCTCCGGCAAGGGATTGTACCACGAGAGGCGCTGAAAGGCTGCGTGCGCGGTTCCCATTAGGACTGGAGCGGAGAGGAGCTGGGATTGACCACGGCGACCATGGAAGCGGGTTCAGAGTGCCGCACGGCTAGCGCGCTGTTTGCGGGGTTCCGGGCCTTGGGGCTCTTTAGCAACGACATTGCACACGTGGTGCGGTTCAGTGCGCTGAAGCGCCGGTTCTATGTGACGACCTGCGTGGGCAAGAGCTTCCACACCTATGACGTGAGTGACTTCCTTCATCAGCTTCCCGGGAACCACCCTCCCGGGCCTCCAACCTTGTCCTGGGGCAATCCCGCTTTCTCCTCCCACCTACTAAGGGCTTCCCTTTCTGCCCTTCTCTTCCTTATCCCCTCCCTGTTGTATTTCGCCATCCCCATCACATCCACGTGCTGATTTAGCCATTGCGTTCCATGTGAAGCGAGTTTCGGAGGCAGCTTGTCTAAACGGAGAGCAATGGAGAACCTCTCAGTTCTGTGGCGATATATTTGTTCAGTAGATATTTGTTGACCTTCCCTTGAAGTTAGCATGATTAAGACAAACCCTTACCCCCCGACCCCTATTCTTAATTTCTTGCAATAGAAAGACTTGTAAGCCATTTTATTGTGTAATTTGTGACACAAGCTGGATTAGAAATTCAGACTGAGATACACCGGGAGTACGGGAGAGAGTGAGATTAATTATGATTTAGGGGACTCTTCATTTGATAGCAATCCAATATCCCTAAACTTCCCCCGAGCGTCTATTTTCAAGCAACATTGAGTGTCTGGTACATGTCACTAACTCCAAGCCTTGCAGCACTTTCTTTGCAAGGTAGGTTTCATTATTCTGTTGCACCGTTATATAAATTGGGAAAGTAAATCTCAGGAAAATTAAGTTACTTACCAAGCACCTCCTGCTTGTTAGTGATGATTTTTCTCTTTTAATAGCTCATCAGTCATTGAGAAAGTATTTTGTTGTTCATTTGTTTCTTTGTCTTCTCCAAAAGCATGTAAGCTCTGTGAGAGAAGGAACCTTGATGATGAGGATGATAAGAGCCAGTGTTCATTAAACACCTTTTCTGGAACACATGTAGAGTTGTCTTCCTTGAGGGATTGTGCAAATCAAATTGGTCATTAGCAAGAAGAGCTAAGAATTGGGAACCAGTTGGGTTAGTGCAGGAGAAAAGGGCAGGGCAGAGGCTGGGGTGAAGAATGATTGGATTTCTCCAAACCTGGGTTGGTAATGGGGAGTGGGTGGAATAGAATGATATTGTCAAATCATGTGGGCGTGTTTATTGTTACATTCTCCGCTCTTGTTCCTTGCTTGCTAACTTTTGGTTTTGCTAGTTAAAGTTTCCTCCTGAGATATAACTTTTCTAAGTTTCTCACCTTTGAAAGAGCTCTTGAAATTATATCTTTGATACACTGTCTTTCCTGACACTGTGTTATGCACAAACATGCATTTTTCTCTATGCACTATTTCCAAAGAAAACCTGTGGTTAGGAAAGTAACATATTTGTACATTTTATAAAAATTTAACAATTTACTTATCTGTGCATTGGCATTTAGTCATAAAAAAATGATTTTTAAGGTCTCCTTTAGTTTTAACACCGGTTATGCATATATTTAATTTAATCATAGCATTATGGCATGTAAATAGCTATTACCCGAGGACTCTGTACACTTTTCATACTAACCAGGGCATTGGGCTATTTCCTCTGAAACTGAACATAACTTGGCACTAATGAGCCGAAGTCACTAATTTGGTCTGCAAGTATTCTATCTTATGGCCATGGCTATATTAATGCTCCAGTCAGACTTCCTATAAATTAGCTTTTTCTAAGGCGAAACTAGGCAAGTTATGGATAGATGTGGTGATAGCAGGTAACATTTATTGATCATTTACCATGTGATTGGCTTCATTCTGTTTTATACAAATTTACTCATTGAGTCCTCATAACAATCCTATAAAGTAGGTACTATTTTAATCCCTATTTTACAGATGAGGAATTTGAGGCACTGGAAGGTTAAGTAACTTTCCCAAGGTCACACAGCAGGATAAGTAACCATAGATTGGGGTCAGCAAATTACAATCTGCAAGCCATTAAACAGCCCACTGTTTGTTTTTTGTATGATCCAGGAGTTATGAATGGTTTTGGCATTTTTAAATGGTTAGGAAAAAAATCAAAAGAAGAATATTATTTCATGACGTATGAAAACCAAATTTCAGTATTCATAGGTAAAAATTTCTTGGAATACAACCATGTACATTTGTTTATGTATCATATGTGGCTGCTTTCATGCTATAATGGCAGAGTTGAGTAGTTACAACAGAGATATATGGCCAGCAAAGCCTAACATTTTTAACTATTTGACTCATTACAGAAAAGGTTTGCCTATCCATTCTATCACCACTCATGGTGACATAGTTGGAAATATAAGCTTTCCTAATAATGAAAATTAGGGTTAATAAGTGTCCTTTTTAGGAAGGACAACATAGCAAATTTATGTATGAGGTTATATCTTAATGTTGAGGTGTTAGGTTATTATAATTATACTTGTTAATGAAAATTTATTTAATCATTTTTTCTTTTTTTTAAATAGGTTCAGAAACTTAGCCTGGTTGCAGTAAGTAAGTGTGGACTTTATTTTGAATTTATGCATGTTTAGTATCTTAAAAACAATATTGTTTAGCATAAATTTAAGACATGCAGAACATATGGAATATATAAGGAATCTAGTGTGTGTCTGATAAATTTACACAGCAAAAAAAAAAAGTGTGGGACAGGATCATGTTTTGCTTTTTGTCATGTCTTTTCTTTAATCTGGAAATAGTTCTTCAGACTTTGTGTTTCACAACATTGACATTTTTGAGGAGTACAGGTTAGTTCTTTAGAATGTCCTTCAATTTGAGTTTTTCTGATATTTCCTCAGGATTAGACTCAGGTTATGCACTTTGGCAGGAATAAGAAAGAAATGATGCTGAATTTTCAGTGAATTTATATTAGGAGACACATGCTGTTGGTTAGTCCTATTTCTGGCAGTGATAACTTTGATCATTGGTTAAGATAACATCTGTCAGGAAGCTCCATTTTAAAGTTTCTGTTTTGCTCTTTGTAGATAATGGGTATCTTGTAGTAAAATGCATTAAGACTGTAAATATCCCAGTACTCTTCAAAGTTTCACCCCTTGCTTTTAGCATTTATTGATAATACTTGCCTGAATCAGTTATTAGTATGATGGTTGCCAAATAGTGATTTCCTTTTCCATCATTCCTTCTACTGTAAGGAAGAGTTTTCCCTTTTCTCACATTTTGGTATTTTTTTTCCCAATGGAAGGGATATTTGTTTTTTTGAAAACTGTTTAGTAGAATGAAGGGCTTGTCAGGGCTGAGAGGTACTAGTTTCACCATCAAATATGATCCTTGTGAGAGAAACAGAGGAGACCTATAAGGGATCCAGTGCATATATCTGATAAACTTACTTTAAAAAAAAAAATTAGAAGGCAGAAGAAAGGCACTGTAACCTAATTTGAATACAGTAGTGAATGATAAACCTATAAAAATAGTTTTATAGAAACAAACCCAAAATGGAATATGCAGTGTGAAAAATACTTAAGACGATTTTCTGTCTACTAACCCTCCTGCCCCCCAAAGAGGAAATAAAAAGGAAAGAGCAGTGTGACTATGATAGTGAGAGAGGAATCAAGAAATCGTGTCATGTGAGAAATAGCTAGAGGTGAAAGGTATTTTTACCTTGGAGAAGATTGAGTGGAAACCATGCTATCTTTAATTGTACTGAGGGTGGACATATAGAACACCACAGAGAGTTTTTTAGGGTTAGTCCAAAGAGTTAGACAGATTTAGATTTTGATTTACTTTAAAATTTTTCCTGGAGTTATTAGTGAATTTGATGTTCTCAGGCACTCACATGAACGCTTGATGACCATCTGCCAGAGTTCTGTGTATTAAATGATAGGTTTTTCAAATAACCTCATAAAGCTTTTCATTTCTTTAGGATTATGTACATATATCTGCAAATCCTAGATATTTGTTCTGTTAGGGAAGGTCAAGGTGATTTCATGTTCTCAGTCTGATAGTTATTAGATATCTAAAATAACATTGAAGTCAAAATTTTATACTCTGATTCTCAGCTTTCACTTTTATTTAAATATATATACATATATTTTAAAATTATAGCCATGAAAAATGTTATATACTTGAAGTTTCTGTTTGTTCCAAGATCTTAAAAATCCTTATTTCTTTTATTTGTATTTTCTCCTAGGTAACTCTGTTCCACAGGATATCTGCTGTATGGCAGCTGATGGGAGACTTGTCTTTGCTGCTTATGGGAATGTTTTCTCTGCATTTGCCCGTAATAAAGAGGTTTGTGTCACTGAGCTGTCTTAACTTGTTTGTCTTCTGCAGTCAATATGTGGTTGTCATGATAGTGTGGGGAACTTTAATGTTGCCATTCTTTATCTGGGACACTCTGGAAATGTACAGTTTTTTAGTTTTTTTTTTTTTTCCCAAATATATATTCAGTTTTCTAGAGGCAGAGAAAATTGATCCCACCAAATTGTCAAAAGGCTTAGTTAAAACTGGTGCTTTACATCAGTTTTTTTTTTTTTTTCCCAAATATATATTCAGTTTTCTAGAGGAAGAGAAAATTGATCCCACCAAATTGTCAAAAGGCTTAGTTAAAACTGGTGCTTTACATCAGTTGTTTTTGTTTTTTTTTTTTTACTAGAGGTGAATGTCAGAATTACTTGGGCATCTTCTTCAAAATTTTTACGCCTAGTGAGGTCCTGTCTCTGGAGCTTTCTACTTTGTATTTGGTGAAACAGGACTTAGTTGTGTGTATTTTGAAAATGCTTTCCTGTAAGGTTCATATTTGCATTTGCACCACTGCTTTATGTGGATTGGCTTCTTCATTATGCACAACTTAGGCCACAACTCCTTTTCTAAAAACTAGGTGCTTGTTCCCTATGTAGAGAAAGCTAGATTCTATGTTTTCTCTACTGCTAAGGAAAGATCTTTTCTGATCTAACTCTACCAGTTGGTTTCTAAGTTTCTTCTGGGACAACTAACTTGAGAAATGATGTGGCTCTGGTGGTCCAGAATAAAAGGGAAAGTGGCAGTGAGGATGTCTAGAGAGCCACATGATAGCCTCACTGTACTTATCAGAGTTTGACTTGGTGTGAGGTTTGTTCTCACAGTCCTCCATCATCATCACTACCTGTAACAGAGGCAAGTAACTTACCTGTGGAGTTCTTTAATGGATAGTTTGGATTTTTAGGGAGCAGGAAAAATATTGTTTGTTTTTTGTATTGTAATTTGTGATTTTCTCTGAGAGATATGTGTGTGTGTGGTACTTACACACACACACTGTATGTAGTTCTGATGAAGACTTTTTTTTTTTTAAAAGATGACCGGTAAGGGGATCTTAACCCTTGACTTGGTGTTGTCAGCACCACGCTCAGCCAGTGAGCGAACCGGCCATCCCTATGTGGGATCCGAACCCGGGGCCTTGGTGTTATCAGCACCGCACTCTCCCGAGTGAGCCACGGGCCGGCCCCTGATGAAGACTTTAATTGAAGAAAGTATATGCACAGGTTTGGTCAGCTTTAGGGAAAAAAAGTAGGGGTGGAAGGCATCAGAGACCATCAACTGTGAGAAGCTTTTACCACTCCTAGGTCTAAGGGTCAGGGAGAAGAAGTACTGTTGCTGGAGCATGGTGAGAACTGACACCATGGAGGAGGAGTTATACTTATGGAGAGATCACTTCCTGTTAACGGCAAGGGTCTCTATGTCCCTTGTCCCTACGTCCCCCTCCCCCATTTCATCTGAAAGATAGTTGGTAATGCAGCCTGTTGAATGAGCCTTACAGAATATACCACTTCTCTAGGATGCATGTAGTAGCACTGGTTAAACTGGGTGAGTGTCTTAGGTATGTGTGTACCTCCTCCTAACCTTAGCTGGGAAGCTGAACCTCAAAGCTCTCATTTCTGTGTTTTTAGTCCAGACTTTACTTCCTTATTGCTGAACTGGCTTAGGGAGCAGATGCACATGCCTGGTTGCTTGCTATTTATCTATTCATCTCTCCTTGGATAATCAACAATTGGACTATATTTCTTACCACAAGCATATTGAGGATTATCATAGTTTTTGGATAACATGAATAATATTGTGTGATGAATGAATAATAATATGAAATTCTTTTAAACTTTGATATTGTAGGTAGTACATACCTTTAAGGGTCATAAAGCAGAAATCCATCTTTTGCAACCCTTTGGGGATCACGTTGTCTCTGTTGATACTGACAGTATTGTTATTATTTGGCACATATATTCAGAAGGTAAGAACTAATTTATTTGCTTTATCTTGGAATAGTATGTGCGTAATTAAATTAAAAGTCTATGTAAACATAACTTCTATACCAGGGGTTTCACATGTAAACAGTAAAAAAAGGAATTTTTTTAAGATAGTATCTTTAACATGAATAAGAAAAAACGTTCTAAGTAAGAAAGAGATAAGCAATTTTAGTCAGCCTTATAACCTATTTAATGTGCTTATCTCAACTAATAAATTTCCATTGCAATTCTCCAAGTTTAATGATTTATATTGTTTTTTCTCTGAAATGAATTTTGATATACATACCTGAGGAATGCTTAGTTTGTATTTTCAACTTTTTTAGTAAGGGAGATTATAATAATAAACCTGAAGATCCTGTAAGCTGAAGGAAAATATACATACTTTTCCTATAGATACAAGTTAGTGTCCTAAAAGACTGGATCGGGTCCATTGTGAATAAAATCTTTTAAATTATTTAATGGGTTTAGAATTTTAGCTTATATTACCTCTTGATTATCTCACTGTTAGATGCAGTATGTTTATTTTTAATATATATCCTGGAGGTTGCCCTCCTCGGAGTTATTCCAATTCCTGTTCAAATTAGTAACCTTTGTCTTTGTTTTGTAGTTGCTTAAGTAGATAAGGAATAGAATTCAAAAAGTATTCCCTGCGTAGATGGTTGTTAAAAGGCCTTTTATAAGATTCCAGAATCTGGTTCTTAAAGTCCAGCAGGCTCTCTCATGATGCTAATGCTCAGCTTTTTTGTTGCTGTTAACAGCAGCACATTGAATCAGTGTCTTCAGGGAGCTGTTTATAGTGACTTTAAGTAAAACTGCTGGTTATAAATAGAGGCAAAGATCTTTTAAAATAGCATTCAAAGTAAAGTTTGTGTGATTTTCACTTTTATCTATGCTTCCAAAACTGGGATATACACACCCCTGGGAGTATGCAGCAGTGTGCCAAATAGTATGTGAACCTAAAGATTAAATGAAGTATACCTTCTTTGATACTCAAATTTATTGGAAAATTTAGTGGAAAATTGTTTTTGTCATGGATGAACTGTGAAATAAAAAACAAATTTAGAACACAGGAAATTTTAACATAACCTAAGATTTCAAAGAATTTTTTTATCTTGCAGCAAGTAACTACTGGCTATACCATTCCCCACTCCATAGGGTTGTAAGTTCTTTTTTTCCCCTCTATTAGAGGTTCTTTTGTGGAAATGCGTGAGAAGCACTTTTCTTAGTTTCACTGAAGTTTGCCTCTTACTTTTTACATCTTTTGAGTGGCTCATCTAGCTTCCCAGATATTTGGCTCTATACTCCCTGAAAGAGCTCAGTACAAGCACCTCACTTAGAATGTTTACCCCTGCCTCCTGATCAAATTATAAAAATATTAATGCTCTTTCCAAGGGTCACTTTTTAAAAATTTTTTATTTTTCTTTCCTTAAACCAATTTAGCAGTGAGTTAATAAACTTCTAGTAGTATTTATATATCAGAATTTATGGAAAAATTGTCACAGTCTAAATTACAAGTTGCCCCTGATCACATTTATTTTATTTCTCTAGGAATTTTTATAGGTTAGTATGTAAGTCTTTGATTCATATTAGCATATAAATTTTTGATATGATAACCTTAATTTAAGTGATAAGTATATGGATACATGACTATTTCAAACTATTTTGTAAAAAATAATTATATATTATTTATAACTTTCACTTTTATAGAAGAATATCTGCAATTGACTTTTGATAAGTCAGTATTTAAAATTTCTGCAATTTTGCATCCAAGTACCTACTTGAATAAAATACTTCTGGGCAGTGAACAAGGAAGCCTGCAGTTATGGAATGTAAAATCCAAGTAAGCACTTTATTTTGAAAATAACATAGTTCTCATCTTATCCTTATCTACTACTTCTTAATGCATACTTAAGTCTCTCAATTCTCCCTGTCTTTATATGTTTATTTGGAGGGCTGTCAATAAATATGCCTGGGTTTGGAGTTGTTAGTCATGGCATTGCATATGTGAAAGCTGGCATGTGGTCCTGATACATAGCAGGAAGCTTCATAAATGCTCATTGAAAGCTATATACTAATAGCCCAGTAACTAAAGGTTCCATAAAGCTGTAGAGAAGGCTCTAGTAAAGTGATATAAGATCCATCAGAAAATGATAATTATGAGATCGTCATGGGATAGCTTCTAGTTTTTGATAAACTAAGAGGGAAGATGAGGCAAAGCAAATGTGTGTTAATTTAGAGCTAGCATTTAGAAATGGTTTTCAAGGTAAACGTACTTCCATCATCAACCACAAATAAATATCTACTATAATATTATTGGTATAACAGGAGGGCTAGATAAATGATATTGAGTACTTCTGCTTGTTATTTGAACATTTATCCAGAGAAAAGGGTTCCAGCTCAGGCTTCTTTGTATAGCATTTAAAAGAGCAAACAAAAATATTCAACCATTCAAATTGTGTTTTCCATAGCCCTTATAAATTCAAAATGGAAAATAAGATTATCAGAGGTTTAATGTTTATCCTAGTCCTTAGTTTTGAATCACTGTTTCAGTTCAATTTAACAAAGACCATTGACTGCCTTCTCTGTGCTAGGCTCAGGCATAATGGCTGAGCTATATTGTCTTTGCCCTTAAGGTTATTTTTCTTAGGTTCTTCATGTGATGCTTACATTCTTTACTATAAGTATTGTTATATAATTATTGAGTTAAATAATCTGTGTCCATTTACAGAATTTAATACATGATTTAATACTTCAATGATAATTTTTGTGATTTCAGATATCTCTGCTTTGTGGACTTATTTTTTATCATTTATGACTTGATTCTGAAATTGTAACAGTCATATAACATGCAAGTAATATTGTAGTTAAAATATATATTCCCTTTAGTGATGATGTTTCTAGAAACACGTTGCAGTGGAAAACAAGATCTGCCTGCACTCTTATTCTTAGATATTTTTTAATGGTATTCTATGATGTAAAATGTTTTTTACTCATATTTTTCCCCATACTTGGACATTTAGTTTCTTAAAGAGGTGAAGTAGTAGTTAGCTCGGAATTTAGAATCTGCACATCATTACTTGCTAACCATGTGAACTTAGCTTAATTATTTCACGTAATTAAGATTCTCAGTTTCTTTATTTGGAAAATAATAATATTTACCTCATGGAATTATTTTGAGTATGAAATAAGGTAATATATGTATTTAGAATAGTGTGTGGCAGAGAAAGAACTTAATAAATATCACCTGTTATTTCACTTTTTAGTATTTAGTCAATTTTGTTTTCTTCCTCACCCCTCAAAAAATAGCTTTCAACTATTTTCTTTTTGTAGTAAACTTCTGTATACATTTCCAGGATGGAAAGTTGGAGTGACAGCTCTTCAGCAGGTTAGTATCTTTCTTTTTTTTTTTTTTTCGTGTCCGGCAACGGACCGCAACCCTCAGTGTTGTGCCCGTACTGGACCGGGACCGGCAACGGGTCACAACCCTTGGTGCTGCGCCCGCCCCTCGCTCAGCCAGTGAGCGGGAACCGGTCTGTATGTGGGATCCGACCCCTCAGCGGGAGCGCCGCCGCGCTCCCAAGTGGCGCACTGCTACGCCACCGGGCCGGCCCCGAGTATCTTTCTAAGTCGAAAAAAAAACCAAAGTTAGTAGTGGGATCTTTTAGTTTCAGGAATCAACCATATTTTTAGACCTAAAGACAAAATAATACTGTATAGAGCCTATTTTATCTTTATAACTGTTACCTTGAGGAAATAGAGCTTTGGAAACATAGTAATATGTGCCTATAAATGTCTGTGGAATCCTTTGTGCTTGGAATTAGGCTTTAAACCTGTGCTTTCTGTGGAACCTTGTTGGCTAATCATTTTGCAAGTGTGTATTTCAGTGCCTTGTGCAGAATGAAAATGACATGTTCATTGATAAAAGGGAGATTGTAGGTCATACAGTGAAATTTATCAGGATGTTGAGATGAGTAATTTAAAATAATTGGGGGCAAAATCCAAATGTTTGATTCAGTGGTGGACTCTTCCAGAAATGACTGCTTTTTGTTTTTATGAGTTTGCAAAACATCTATAAAAGAATGAATGTATGTCTGCAGAGAATCTGGTATGTCTTTTGGTCGCATAGCCAGTATAACATCTTTCTAAATATCTGTGGTCTATACCTGCCCAATTTATATGCATTTTTCTCATCCTGTCTCGCTGACATCAATCTTGCTCCACTTTTACCTATTCAGAAGACCCCAATGGTATCAGATGATTAGGTCACTTGAGGGTAAGGGATCATATTTGTTTTAGTATCGCCAGCTTCTACACAGGGTCTCATGTCTAGTAGGCTCTTAATGGCATATTAGTAAAATGTTAAGCCTGATTCCATTGTATTATAGACCATTATAAGATGATTGTAATCATAGAATTTTAAAGATAGAATAGACTAATTGTAAAACTTTTTTGCCTTTTAGCATGTTTTGTAGGTTTTTCCTCTTTTCCTTGGATTATGTAACGTAATTGTAGTTGGCCACTTATGTTGCCATGCATATGGCAAGCCTTAATATGTTTTTTAGCCATTGTCTCCTTTTTGTTTCCCTCCAATCAGTGATCTGTAGTGATTTTACATATCAGCTTCCTTCTCTGTTTTGCTGTTTTCTTACCAAGTCAGCTATGTTTTGCAGGTTGGGAGGGGGGATGCTGACTGGCAGAATTGAAGGTGGGAAGTAGTTTGGAAAAATCATTGCTAATTACTTCCATGCTGAATAGCAATTTAAGTATGCCAGAATGGTAATACTTGTTAGGTTTTTTTGCCACCTTTAGGAAGATATTCCATTATTCCTTTTGATAATACATAAGAAATAATGCATATCATCAAAGGATCATTGAATCTATTTTATTTAAGAAAATAAAAGATTGAGTAATTTCATTTTCAGGCACCAGCTGTGGATGTTGTTGCCATTGGTCTTATGTCGGGCCAGGTTATCATTCACAACATTAAATTCAATGAAACGTTAATGAAGTTTCGTCAAGACTGGGGACCCATTACTTCAATATCATTTCGCACAGGTAACTTTTAACTTATTTATTGATATGAACTAAGAACACTTAAAATACATTACTTTAAAGGTCATGGAAATTGTCTTCTTGTGGTTTAGTTTAATAGAAAAGAATAAAATCCTATAGTAAAAGGAGGCAAAGGAATATGGATAGATGACTGGTGTATAGTTCTTTTAACTTTGCGTGTATGGGATAAAAGGGTCGAGAGAAGAGTGGTGAAGTTTAGTTGTTTGGGGAGGTCTATAAGTGTTTTCCTTAATGTAGTTTATTTTAATAACAGATGGTCATCCAATAATGGCAGCTGGAAGCCCATGTGGACATATTGGACTCTGGGATCTAGAAGACAAAAAACTAATCAATCAAATGAGAAATGCACACTCTACAGCAATTGCCGGGATGACATTTCTCCATAGAGAGCCACTTCTTGTCACAAATGGCGCTGACAATGCTCTCCGGGTATTATGATTATTGTTGTTATCATCTTCCTGGCTCATCTGACCTACCCTTTGGGTTATTACAGGTCTGCTTTAATGTATCAGCCTTGAACCTAGAAGATGAAAGAAATATCAGATGAGCTATTAGTATTGATAAAATGAAAAACACAGCAGGGGACATGGTTGCAATGAAGTGAGAAACATTTACAGCTTATTTCTTCTAATCCCCACTCCTGCCCTTATAGCTCCAGGATCCGTGGCCTAGCAAGCACTACCCAATGCCATTTGATTTATGCAGGAGGTGATTTGACTACCTAGAGATCAGATAGCACATTGTGGAAGAATCTGACCTTTTTATTTCTTGACAGATATGGATATTTGATGGTCCTACAGGCGAAGGCCGACTTCTGAGATTCAGAATGGGACATAGTGCTCCTCTTACCAGTATCAGATATTACGGACAAAATGGACAACAAATTCTAAGTGCAAGTGAGTTTCCACTTTGGACTATTAGTTTTTTTCAGCAGATATTGAGAGCTGGGTGCTCAGTGTTTATTAGGTTTGGTATTTACACATTTTTAGACTCATATGTCTGAGTGCTTTAGAAGTCTGGGTAAAACTAAGACAGTTCTTTTTGGCTACTTCAGGAAGCATTGTAGATGATGTTATCTTTACTTGGTGTGTCATTCTGTGTACTAATCCTCAGAAACAAAATGGTCACTGAAAATGTGACCATTGCCTATTCTAATCTACTGAAAATTATTAGTACCTCATTTTTATTTTATTCTTTGTTCTTCCTAAATGACATTCTATGCACAGATGAATATTATAATGAAGTAGTTGCAATCTGGCTCTCCCTTTAAATTGTCTCAAGCTATAACTTCAAGCTTTTATAGACTCTAATTTTATGATATGTGACCGACAGAGTCCATTGTTTTGATGAAACTTGATCAGTAACTTTCTGTATATGTCAACAGGCCAAGATGGAACTCTTCAGTCATTTTCTACAATACATGAAAAATTCAACAAGAGCTTGGGACATGGTAGGTCATTTGCAAGATAAGAAAAGAAGCTGCTGGTCACGAAAGAAACATTTCAAGATTTGTGAGACAACTGGAGGAGGTTTCATCAATAAATTTCCTCTTAGATGATATAAAAAAAATATGTATGGAGGAAGGAGTAGTAGGATTCTTAAGATTGAAGTTGCTATAAAAGTAGTTGAGGGGCTGGCTGGTTAGCTCAGTTGGTTAGAGTATGGAGTTGTAACACCAAGATCAAGGGTTCGGATCCATACACCAACTAGCCACCAAAACAAAAAAAGATGGTTGAGGTGCGCTGCTGTGAGGTTATTGAAAAAGGTTAGACACCTTGGTTGGTGAAAACATACTTTTGCCTCTTGAGATATTGATGACCTAACTTGAGCCATCTGTAGAATATAGAGTTACAAAGACGGAAGGGAGCTTAGACAAAGCATCAGAGTAAGCAGTTGCCATCTTTTTGCTTTAAATAACTTATTTTATTTACTCATTCTCTTTCCATTTTATGTGTTTTCCAGCCTTTGAAACATTTTGTTTATTAAACAAAAATGTTTTTCAGTTTTATTAATAATTACTCATCTTTTAAAGTGAATATTCTGGCTATTTGCACACATACATGTTTCCAGATGAATTTTAGGATAATTTTTAAATCAATATCTAAAATAATTCTTCTTGAATTTAAATTGGAGAGAATTGATATCTTTAAGAATCTTCTCAACTAGGAATATGCTATATCATTGAAATTGTCTTTTATGTTCCTCAGTGAAGTTTTTAAAAAATTTTCCTCATGTTGGTCCTATATGTATAAGATTATTTAGCGGCATTTTATATGTTTTTGCTAATATTATGGATGCAATCTTTGTTCATTACATTTTTATCTGGTTATTGCTGCAGTGTAGGCAACTCACTGAACTTTTTTTGTGTTGGTTCTATATCTGGCCTCAGTGAACCTGTTATTTCTTCTAGTAATTATTTGGTTGTTTCCTTCTTGACTATGTGACCATCATCTCATCTGCAAATAATGGTATTTTTACCACCTTTTTTTGATTATTCATACCTTGTGATTTATTTTCATGTGTAATTATGCTGACTAAACTTAAGAAACAGTTAAATAACAGTGGTGAATAGCATCTTTGTTTTGCTCCTGACTTAAGTGGGAATATCTTAAACTTTATAGTTATGTGACAATGAATAGCTTTTCTTTTATATATGTTTTTTATTAAGGATTTACAGCTATGTTCCTCTCTTCCCCAACCCCAGGATTAATAAATAAAAAGAGAGTCAAACGTAAAGGACTTCAGAATACCATGTCAGTGAGACTTCCACCCATCACAAAATTTGCAGCAGGTAAGTAACTTCAGACTGTGTTTTGAGTTCTGCTTTGTCATTTATTTCCTACTGTAAACTTCTTTATTTTCTCCATTTTAATAAATGTTTTTGCACATGTTAATAGGTATTCAGAAGGTAACCCCAAGTGCATGCTAATCTTGTGTGAAGATGAAAATGAGTTATTTTTAGCAAATTTATTATCTATTAATCTCAGGTTTTGCTCTTCTTTGTAACAGCCATTAATAAGTAATGTTTGATTGTATACCCTGTCTTTTTATACTATCAAATGCCTGGTGTAATGAAAATCACTAATGTAAAAAGATAAGAGCCAGTACAGCAAAGTGTGAGAACATAGAGCTCTGACTAATCAAGACCTAAGTACTAGACTGAGGTCTTATTATTCTATGACATTTGAGCAGTGCTTCATTCAGAGAAGTGATTTTAAGAAAAATGTAGATAGATAACGGGATTGTGGAGTGAAAACTATCATAGGAAATAACTGTAGGCACCATTTTTATTTCAAGATTATTATAACAACCTGATCACTGTTTTTTGTTAGGCTACTCTCTTTTCTGTTTTCTTAGAGCTTGAGTGATCTTTCTAAAATGTACATCTGAATCGTGTCACTCATTTGCTTAAATTTTTTAGTGGCTCCTTATTATGTTTAGAGTGGAAACTTGTCTCCTTAACATGACTTTTAAGACCCTTTGTAATGTGGTCCAGTTGCCTTGCACTCCTCCCATCCCTGCCAAGAAAATATTTACTTACTTTCCTCAACTGTGTTCAGTTACTCTTGGGCATATTGTTTCCTTTCTCTCCCCTCAGGTAATTTCTACTTGTTTTACCACTCCTTCCAGGGAGCCATTTTATTCTTCCAAAATCTGTTAGTAAAACTCTTCCTGAGTGCTCTTATGAGACACTATCATACTTTATTGTTATTTCTTCTAATCAGAATCTTTTTTTAGATATGTTAATTAGCTTGATTTAGGCATTCCATTATATATATATATGTATGTATGTATGTCAGAATCTTTTTTTAGATATGTTAATTAGCTTGATTTAGGCATTCCATTATATATATATATATGTATGTATGTATGTATGTATGTATATGTATATATAAAATCTCAAAACATCATGTACATTGTAAATATATATAATTGTTATTTGTCAATAAAAAAAAAATAATAATCTCTTGTTAGATGGGAAGCTTGTTGCTATCAGGGGTTATCTGTTTTACCATTGTGTCTCTAGTGCCTGATGATAACATGGAATATTCAATGCTTAATAAATTATAGATGAATGAATGAGAGAATGAAAATCAATTTGAATTATGATTTTAATTATTTTTTAGAGGAAGCTCGTGAGAGTGACTGGGATGGTATCATTGCTTGCCATCAAGGTAAGCTATCTTGCTCAACCTGGAATTATCAAAGATCCACAATAGGTGCTTACTTTCTCAAGCCAAAAGAGTTGAAGAGTGATGATGTAACTGCAACAGTAAGTGAACTTATTTGTAAGGATATTTTCTCCTTTAAAACTGTCCAATGATAACTTGGTTAAGTTTACTAATGATAATATTGGTTGAAAAAGCATAGTTTAACATTTTGAAGTTATTCCCCAGTAGTGATGTTTTTCAACATGCAGAGGTTTATTTATTTACTTATTTGAGATTGGGTGTGAGATCGTATCTCACTGTGGTTTTGATTTGTGTTTCCCTAGTGACTTATGATGCTGAGCATTTTTAATGTGGTTATGCACCATTTGTTTATCTTCTTTGGGGAAATGTCTATCAGATCCTTTGCCCATTTTTTAATGGGGCTGTTTATCTTTTTATAATTGACTTGTAATAGCTCTTTATATTCTTGATACAAGTGCTTTATCAGATACATGATTTGCTAATATTTTCCCCCATTCTTTGGGCTGTCATTTCGTTTTCTTGTTTGTATTATTTTCAACAGAAGGGTTTTTAATTTTGATGAAGTTCAGTTTATCTATTTTTTTGTTATATTGCTTGTGCTTTTTTGAAATCATTGCCTAACCCAAGGCCACAATGATTGGCTCTTGTGATTTCTTCTTAGAGTTTTATAGTTTTAGCTCTTACGTTTAGGTCTATTATTTTTTCTGAATTAATATTTGTGCGTCATATGATGTAGGGGTCCAACTTCATTTGTTTGAATGTGGATATCTAGTTGTGTCAGCATCATTTGTTCAAAAGACTGTTCTTTCTCCATTGAATGGTCTTGGCACCTTTGCCAAAAATCATTTGACCATGCATGTAAGGGTTTATTTCTGGACTTTAAATTTTGTTCCATTGGTCTGTATGTCTCTCCTTATACCAGGACCACACTGTCTTGATTATGGTAGTTTCGTAGTAAGTTTTGAAATCAGAAACTATGATTCCTTTAAGTTTGTTCTTCTTCTTACAAGATTGTTTTGTCTATTCTGGTCCCTTGCATTTCCATATAAATTTTAGATCAGCATGTCCATTGCTGAAAAAAAGTTATTTAGGATTTTGGCAGGGACTGTGTTGATTTGAGTGTTGCCATTTCAGATGCATGAACATGGGATGTCTTTCCATTTATTTAGATCTTCTGTAATTTCTGCTAACAACATATTGTACTTGTCAGTATATTAGTCTCTTATTTCTTTGGTTAAATTGTTCTTAGTATTTTATTTTTTTCAATACTATTGTAAGTGGATTGGTTTTCTTAATTTTATTTTGCATTGCTCATGGCTAGTATATCAAAATATAATTTTTTTTTGTATATTGATCTTGTATTTTACAGTCTTGCTGAACTCGTTTATTAGTTCTAATAGTTTTTTAGTGGATGCCTCTGCTTTTGAAAATGCTTATTAAAGGTATAATTCAACATTTTACTCTATTTTGTACAAATTATTTCGTAAGTATGTATGCTCTACTTTCCATAGTATGAAAATCAAGTCTTAAGCGTTTATATAGTTTTCTAAACCATGTAGATTCTATCTTAGAGTTCTTTAGGAAGTTTACCTCCATAGTTTTGAGTAGCAATGATATATAGCTAACATCTTTTATATGCTTACTTTGTTACAGGCTCTTTGCCTAGCATGTATTATTTCATATTATCCTCACAATAGTCCTACAATATGGTCTGTTGTTAGCCTCTTTTTATGGACGATAAAACTGAGGCTTAATGTAATGAGTAGCATGCTAAGGTCAGTAAAGCTAGTAAGGGGCAGGGCTGGGATTTGAATCTAAGACAACTCATTGTGAAAACTACATTCTTAACTCAGAGTGATCATTCATAGAATATTTAGTGTATGTATATATAGTGATCCTTAACCAGTGCTCGGTCATTTGTCTGGCAGCCTCAACTACTTGGAACAAAACCAGTAATCTATAATAAACAAAAGTAATTGTTAGAGGGCCCATGCAATAAAGTACAATTTGTTACGTAAAGGTAACCCGCACAGTTGATTTATTTTTACTTTGCTTGTGCTATCTTAGATAATACATAAGAATGAATGAATTAGGAGAGGAGATTGACAGAAGCAAGCTCACTAACAACAACAAATCCTATTTCAAAAATATAAAGTATATAACAGGACCATCAGGGGCTTGTATTGCTTATAGGTTATAACCTAGTACCTCTGTTGGTTCCTGAGGGCCTAACTATACACAACATAGCATAAACATTTATGAGTTTTTCAGAATAGGTAAGATTATGTTTATGTTCCATTTAGGAAGACAGAATGCTTTTTAAGCATAGTGCATAATTTCTTAGCTAAAATACTTTATTTTTATTTAAGTAATATGCTTTAATTATCTAGAAAAATGTATGTACATGAAACATACTTATGTAATGCTATGTAAAAATGTCCTGACTCACAGAGTGGTATATCAACTTTATGTTGCTTTGCACCATTAAATATTTTCTATTTAGGTCTTAGAAGTCATTTATTTATTTAGGTGTAAATTCAGTAGTTTTTTTGAATTATCTTTTGGGTGGGTGACATCTGACACACATTGGCAATCATTGATTTCTCTGGTCATAACCCAATACATAGCCAGTCTTATGTTTTCAACACAGAAAAAAGATATCTTGTTGATATAATATTGATATTTTAAGTATTAAAATGAATTTATTTTATAAAAAATGCATATAAACCAAATGTTTTCTATACACTGTCTTATATATTTCCTTCCTAATATGTCATAATTATTTTGGGCTTTTTTCATTGGGCATTCTAACTAATTATATGTTTTCAGTTTAATATAAGCCTGTACAGGCAATTACAAAAGTTAGATAAGGTTAAGAGAAATTAGGCAATGGAATGCTTTCACTTTAGCACTGTTGTTAATAAATTAAAAATTGAAGGCCAACCCAATATACAATTCTCCTGACTTTATAAATTTCCATTGAGTTAATTTTAGTTATGTTTTATCTTAGATAATAATTTTTTTATACTTCTTAATGAGTAGAGATAGAATTAAACACCTATTTCTTATACACCCAAGTATAATTATGTTTAAGGAAACATATTCTCCATGTTTTTAAAAACAATTTCTTATGCTCTTTTTTAAAAAATGAAACAAGTAGCAAATAAAAAAATACTTTGGAAACCATAAGGTGCAATAAAAACGTTAGTTATTTTCTGTGTTATTTGTGGGGTTTTTTGTTTTGTGCTTTTTCCTAAAGGCAGCGGACATAACCTCTTGTGGAAATTTTGCTGTAATTGGCCTCTCATCAGGAACTGTAGATGTATATAACATGCAATCTGGTATACATCGAGGAAGTTTTGGTGAGGGTCAAGGTATTGAATTTTTTTCTTCTTATTCTCTTAAAATAAAACAGATAGATGTAAAACTAATAATGATAGCTAACTCTTATTAAATCTTTAATTGCCACTTTGCTGAAGTTTTAGGTGGGTTATTGTCAACTTTATATGGCAGATACTACCATTATATCTATTGTAAGCACATGTTAATATAACTACCATTATATCTATTGTAAGCACATGTTAACATATTCTAAGAAAATAAAGTCATAGATACATTATAGGTAAGGGGGTATTATACAAATTAGAATTTTTATCTTCTCTGGTTTAAGCAGAAAATCTTAACTATGTTTTTTTAAACTTTTTTGTGGCATTAATCAGATTTCTGTTTTTTATCTGAGTATTACAATATATAAAGAGTGGGACTTTAGATATTCAAATGAGGAATCACTTTATTGTTCAGAGAGGCACTGGCAATTCTAATTTTTTTTTTTTTTCTTTTGATGTGTACTTTAAAGCTCATAAAGGATCTGTTAGAGGTGTTGCAGTGGACGGATTAAACCAGTTGACAATTACAACTGGTAGTGAAGGATTACTCAAATTCTGGAACTTTAAAAACAAAACTTTAATCCATTCTATGAACCTTAATTCATCTCCAAATATGATGCTGCTACATAGAGACAGGTAAACTTTTTCTTGTAATGATAATGAATTTTCTTTTTGATGTTTTTGGTAAAAGTTCTTAAGTAAAGTACATAATATTCCAAGTGGGAAAAATCAGACTGTTTTCATAAAGAACCACTTTTGGCTTAATTTCCCCAAAGTTATGAGTGAGTGTGTATTTGATTCACAAAATTAAAGTTTTCAAGGTTTATTTATTTATTTATTTATTTATTTATTTATTTATTTATTTATTTATGTGTATTTGATTCACAAAATTAAAGTTTTCAAGGTTTATTTATTTATTTATTTATTTATTTGTTTGTAAACTTTTTCTTGTAATGATAATGAATTTTCTTTTTGATGTTTTTGGTAAAAGTTCTTAAGTAAAGTACATAATATTCCAAGTGGGAAAAATCAGACTGTTTTCATAAAGAACCACTTTTGGCTTAATTTCCCCAAAGGTGTATTTGATTCACAAAATTAAAGTTTTCAAGGTTTATTTATTTATTTATTTATTTATTTATTTATTTATTTATTTATTTATTTATTAAAACCAGTGCATTTATCTTGCTAGTGGCATTCTGGGACTCGCCTTGGATGACTTCTCCATTAGTGTTCTGGACATAGAAACTAGGAAGATTGTCAGAGAGTTTTCTGGACACCAAGGCCAAATAAATGACATGGTAAAACAAACTTCAGCTATTTAACAAAATGTTACTCATTTCTACTTTTGTTTGGGTTAAAAATGTCCAAATAATTGAACATGTTATCCTTTAATAGAATTAAACTTATGTGAGGAGATTTTCAAAATAAATAATAACTTGGAGGGTAATTTTCAAAGAAAATTTTAAATTAAAAGAAGTTTAATATTTTTCAGGGAGCTGAAGTATAAATTCCAGAGTTCATCTTTTTATCTTCAGACATTGCCAACATGTACTTTAGAGGATGAATGATCTTTGGTTCATAAGTGTATCATTTTTGACTTAATATTAAAGTCAAAGAGAACTCATTTGTTTTTCTATATTTGTAAGGAAATAATAGTAAGAGACCATTTGCCTGGAATATCTGATATCTGGTTTATTCCAGTTTAGTGTTACTTCTAGAGTTTATATATCCAACTCTGAAAGAGTTTAATAATAAAAATGTGTTTGAGTTTACTCTTATGTTCTTATAGTGATGTGATAAGTAAACTAGTTTAAAAAATATATTTCATGAAAAGGAACTTTTAAAATAAATTTGTCAGTTGAGAATCTGTCTTCAGTATATGTTGTCATTTTTTCTCATTGTAGATACCTTGATTTCCTAGGAGACAGAAATAAATAAAAATAAAATCCTAACTACTTAGTGACAAACCCAACAGCTATATTTACTTATCAGTTCTCATGCCAAAAATCAGAACTTTCAATACTTACCCATTTTCTTAAAAATAGAAGAAAAAATTTGATCAGGAAATTGTATTCCACAGATAGGAGGCTGGCAAAATTATCCATCAACAGAATTTGTTTTGACAGCATCTGTAGAAATGAGGGTGAGAGTGGGGTAATTGTGATGAAATGGCATTTTTTGAAAACATCTGTCAGTATCAACTTAGTCTTCCTCTTTCCTTCCTTTTTAAACTATACTTTCAACTTGTGTGTCTGGAGTTTCTCCTGCTCAGTAATAAGTGACTTCTGTTCCATTAAATCTAAGAGCATTTGTAACATGGTCTTACCTCTCAGTCATTTTTTCCCATCCTTTACTATCTGTACCACCCATCTGTAAACTGAGCTACCTATACCACAGCCCAATGAACAAATTAGCATTTAACTTATTCCGGTCATTTGCTAATGTGAATGGTCATGATCCCTTTGATGTGTTTAGACTCCTAGATGAATAATCTACTACCACTATAAACCTTAAAGTTTTTCCTTTTGGGTCTTTTCCACATCTGATCTAACTTAAGCCTCATAACACTTATCTGCTGCAGAAACAGAGAGCTATTATTTATCCATTTTTATATCTAGAAAAGATAACTTCTTTAACGTGGCATAAATAATTCATTATTTAAATTTATTTTGAAAATGTTTCTGATGATTTTAGTTTCAAATTATATTTTGGAAGTAAAGCATCATTAGGGGAGATAAGGAGATTTTTAACTGAACCTGCAAATAAAAGCAGAAGGAATTCTTATTTAGCAACTTTAATACATTATGAGAAGGTTGCATTCTCTGTCTTCAAAATCATACTGGTTTGGATTAATTCTTAGAAAGCCAGTCTAATATAGAGATTTTTTGCAAAGAAATGTAGCTTTTGTTGCTTTCACAAATACTTTGTAACTGAAACTAGGCTAACAAAATATTTCTAATTGAGTGTTCTTAGAACAGCATCTTGAATATTAAAAATTATTTGTAGTCACACATAGTCTATTAATTGTCTATAAGTAAGTAGGAGATGATGGTATAAAAGTTGAAAATTGGGGTGATATTCTTAATTTTTTAAAGTTGTAATTCATGTAAAAGCCTAATCTTTATCCAGATTCTGAATCAGTGGTATATAGGACATAGGATTTTTTTTTAATATATTAAATAAGGCAGTCTGAATTTACTAAATTTTATTTTTTGACTGAGCTTGCATCATTTTATTTCTTGCATTCTTTAAGATGTTAAATGTATATTCATGCACACATACATACAAATATCCATATATATTATATATATATATATACACACACACACACACACACATACTTTTTTTTTTAATTTAAAGGCTTTCAGTCCTGATGGTCGTTGGTTAATAAGTGCTGCAATGGATTGCTCTGTTAGGACTTGGGACCTTCCATCTGGGTGGTGAGTTTATTTTTAAATCCCTAATCTCAATGAGAAGATTTCTTTCATTGTCTTAACGTGACTTTTACCTTGTTAAATGACTTGTTAATGGATTTAATGCTTTTTGAATATGAATGTATTCGGAGATTTTTTTAACATGACTATATTTTGTCCTTGCAGTGGTTTTGGTCTGTAAACAGCAGGGAGTAGTATCATGAAAGATAATAGTGAGAAAATGCAATCTCTCAGGTTTTCTGTTCCTGCAAAATCGAGACATAGAAGTGAGTTGGATAAACCTTAAGAAAGCTCATTTGGCCTTTTTGATACTCAAAAATAAAGCTCAGATTTTACTACTGCAAATTTTATTTTTTATTTTTTATTTCTTTTAGTTGACATTGAATTTAGTCCAAAGGTCAAAAACCTGAACTTTCTTTTTTGTATATCTTCTCTGTCTCTAACATAATTCTTGAAAGAGACATTCTGAATACCTTAAAGTAGTGAAAATGTGTGTTTTAGGATTTGGGCAAAACCCAGCGGTGTTCAGAAATCTGTTTCATAGATTGAAACTTGCTACTAATACAGCTCTTGAAGAGAAAACACCTAATTCTGTTAGATAATATGAACAGTGGAGACCTAGAGTGTCTGTGTTTGTGTGTGCTTTATTGTTAAAACTTGTGTAGATATAGATGCCATTAAAACCACATAATTTAACCTAGAATTGCTTGGATTGAGGATGAAAAAAGGAAGAGTGATGAGAATAGCAAAGCATCTAATTTAGCAAGAAAATACTATAAGAAAAGAGATAGTTAAGATAAATTAGAAAGACGATAGTACTTTTTAGTCCTCTGAAATAACCCTAAACTAAGCACTATCCAATTCTATTTTCTCTTCTTTCTCAGGAATTGGATAAGCTCATACATGAAAGTGGTTTGACCTTTAGAAAGAAAAAACCCTGATGTCCTCATTTCCCCTCGTTTGTTAAAGGCCTGAGGCACTTCTTTCTATCCAGCATATACACCAGATTTGAAATAAGCACAGCTAAAGAGTGTTGCTAGTGGGGCCCAGCTCTAATAACTAGAGGCTTTTAACCATAGCTGTGTCTTTTTTTAAGCAAAATCTAATTGGTTAGCTTTGCCCTCTTTTGGCTTCAAAAAGTTCACCTGAAGTTGGTACAGGTTGAGTATCCCTTACCAGAAATGCTTGGGTGTTTCAGATTTCATATTTTTTTGGATTTCAGGATACTTGCATATATGAGTGTCCCAAATCCGAAATTATCTAATGAGCATTTCCTTTGAGCGTCATGTCAGTACTCAAAAAGATTTGGATTTTGGAGTATTTTGGATTTTGGCTTTTCAAATTAGGGATACTCAACCTGTATTTCTTTAATTTAAAAAACTTTTTAAAAAGATACTCGTAGAAATATTGGTGGACTGTTGCTTCTTGGACTTTCTTTTGCTATTTTCTAAAAATAAACATTGTATCATTTGAATTGCTTTAAGAAAGCTGTAAAAGTGATAGAGTTGACATAATGTTCTTTTCATTTTCCTTTTTAGCTGTTTTAGTTCACAGTAGGTGGGAGAGATAAGTTAATGTTCTCTTTTAAAAGTTGTAAATTTGTCTTTGCAATGGAAAAATTAGGATCTGAAAGTAGCATTCAAAGCCACTGGCCCTTGACTCAGCATTAGCCTTTTTGCTGCATTTCTTTATTTCAGTAAAACTTTGAATAGATTTAAATCTGATAGGTTTTCAACTCTAGCATCTTATTTTTAGGTGAACACAAGCATTTTTAAGTGAATAGAGGGGGGTGAAGCTGCCTGCAATACAAGAGCAAGAAATGAGCCACATAGGAAATGTAATAAAATCTGCACAGATTGGACAAAAGTATACTTTTGAAAAGAAAAAAAATAAGCTCTTTGGAAAGGGAGCAAATGAGAGAGCTTGAAAAGCAGTATCAAACAACTGCTGCTGCTTAATTGCAACTAAGTTAGCGCTTACCATGTGCTGCTAGGCACTTCGTATGCTTTTATGTTTCATATCTCATTAGATGTAGGTACTATTACTGTTATTAGTCCCATTTCACAAATGAGGAAATGGAAGCTCTGAAAGAAAGTGATTTGCCTAAAGTGACTTGTTTTGTAAATGGCAGAGCATAAAATAAGTATAGGAGAAAGAAATAGGCTTCTCATCACATGTGATTCAGCCTTGCTCAGGTTGTGTCGTATGTTCTAAGGGTGGATATCAAGGATTAGTATTTCATCATACAACCATAAGTAACTGTTGGGGTTTTTTTGATTCCCCTCTTTTTATAAAAATAACTAGTATGGCAACCTTTGGAGATTCTTACTTCTTATTTGATAATCGGTTTCATCATTTGTGCATGTTAAATATTTAAAGAGTGAATATATTTATTACATAGCCTAAAAATTGAAGCTATCTATGAGTAAACCTTTGAGTGAAGTAACAAACAGGTATATCCATCTGTAGTTGCACCTGTCTAAAACAGATTTCATGGGTACTGAACTGTTTCCTATAAAGCTTTTCTAAAATGCTGAAAAATGTTTTGTTTGTAGAATACTCAGAGAAGCAGAGTTAAGAATTTTTATTTGTGCAATTATCTGTTGTTCCTCTACCACCACTACCATCTTTTATTTCTGGTGGTTTTTTGATCTATTGGAAGTTCAGGTTGAACTCTTTGTGGGATGAGAAATATATAAAATTAAATAGTTTTAATACAATTTTGCATTTTATTCTGTTTGACACCACCCCCACTTTCTGAGGAAAATCATATGAGAAGAATTGGAATAGAACATTAATTTGTGCAATTATCTGTTGTTCCTCTACCACCACTACCATCTTTTATTTCTGGTGGTTTTTGATCTATTGGAAGTTCAGGTTGAACTCTTTGTGGGATGAGAAATATATAAAATTAAATAGTTTTAATAGAATTTTGCATTTTATTCTGTTTGACACCACCCCCACTTTCTGAGGAAAATCATATGAGAAGAATTGGAATAGAACATTGTTTTGCGTTTTTCACTGAGGCAAAACCATCCCTTTGTTCTACTCCTTAAAGATTCCTGTGGAAGGTGATACCATCACGTTGGAGATGGGACATCTAGACACTATCTCATTTGTTCAGAAATAATAATCAGAAACAACTTACTGAATGTTATCTGTATATACAGGCCTCTAATCTTATAAGTCTGATTCCTTAGATTGGGAATTTTAATAATATTCTTTAAGAAAAAAATTATAACACACCTGGGACTTTTCATTTTATAGGATTAGCAGGAGACTGCATGATAGTTTGGGGGCCTGCACACTTATGTGGCACTAATCTGGCAATGTAGAATATGCTGTGTATGTGGAAAACACCTTCCTCAATTTGGTGTTTTTATATAAAAGAAGGCCGGTCTACCTACACACCACAGCTGTGAAAATGAAGTTGCACAGTAAAATTGACAAAGTAATTATAGTACCAAGTAAAATAAGTTTGCTCAAGCAGTAAATTTTCTTCTCAACAGATAGATTCTAAAGATCTTAGGAAGTTTCACCCCTCACATACTTAAACTTTTGATGAGCAATATTGATCAAGACAAAGGAGAAATTGTAAGATCTGAAATTGCTGCTTTAGATTTCATTCTTATCTATACATACTGGGATAATATCTTCTTCTTTGGGTTATTTGGATTAAATAGGTTAACATAAATAATTTTACAGTCTCTGGAATAATAATATGTGTTTAGCAAATGTTTTCTTTTCTCCTATTCCCATGATCCCCAAGAGAAACCATTCTTGTGAGCTTACAAAGTAGGCTTGAGCAGAAATTATGCAGGTTATTGCTTCCTTTTTTCCTCCATAACTGAGAATTAAACAGCAGCCATTGTCCTGAACACACTTTGGTATGTATGTGTCTGTTTCTGTTCTCCTAATTATAGTCTTTTCTTCTTATCTTGCATTCTTACTTAAGGTTTACATTTTTAATGGCTCTTTCAGCAAATTGAGAGATATTTTACCATAGGCAAGTTACTTAATGTCTGCAGTGGAGAATCTTCATTTATATGTGAGCTGCTTACAGTGTGTTCCATGAATCATCAATGTAGGCATGCCTGGGTGTATATATGCTATTGCACACACTGTTGATCTTTTAGTTTCAGTAGTGGTTTTACTAGTTTAGAGTGGTTAAGAGTGCAGACTGCTTGGGTGAAAATCCTGACTCACTTGCTTTTTACTTTGAGCATATTTTTAAATCTTACTATGCTTCAGTTTTCTGGTTTGTGTAGTAAGGATGGATGTGCATCATAGCGTTATGAGGATTAGATTATTAGTACACTCAAGTGCTCTGGATGCTTCCTAGCACAGAGCACTAAAAACGTGTTAACTGCTGTTATTTTGTTTTATGAATAATATGTGTTATTTAACGTAGATCCTGAACTTTAGTCATTTGGTGTGCCTTCCCATGGATAGTGTACTGGTTTCAATAATAAAGTGGTTTTTAAAACAGCTGTGATTAAAACCAGTATACTCCTCTTAAAGGTATTCCCACTTTTAGCCAGTCTAAGGAGTCTTTCCAGTAGAATGCAGATGAGTGTAGGCCTTTCTCTTTGCTCCTTAAAATCCTCCTCTTTTCTCTTCTGTTGCTACCATACTAGTTCAGATCTTCATTGATTGTCAGATGATTACTACCATAATCTCACTGTTTTTCCTGTTCAAATGTATTCCATATTCTGATGGCAAATTTTCACTTATGAAAATGACGATTATACCATTATTTGCTCTAAAGCAGTTAATGACTTTCCATTGATCATAAGATAAAAAACTCAGCTGTTTGTTATTCAAGACTTTGTACACAGCCTTATGTGTCTCCTTAATGGTCCCACCAAACCATACTTCTCACTATACCCGATTGTATCTTTCCTCACCCCATCCTCCACATTTTCTTCAGCCAGGAAATGCTTTCTTTACCATCAATATCCATAAAATCTTGGCCATTTGTAAGGCTTATTTCAAATATCATGTTTTGTGAAGCCTGTTCTGCATCTTCTTCCTGGTCCCTTCAGCATTTTAAAGCTGTGGGACTAGTTTCCATAAGCTGCTTTACAGTTATGCTTTGTAGACTGAATTTTCACATGTCTCATGTATAACATGGTTACCTATTTGAAAAACAGGTACAATTGTTCAAAAGTTTTTTCTGTTACCATTCTGTTATTCTTATTTACAGCCGTCTTGTTTTGTTACTTTCTTCTGTTGCCTAAGTCTTTTATTATTTTCACTGGAATAACAAAAACATAGGAGAGTACTGATAATTAGATTTATTTTAAATGTGGGATGTCTTCAGAATTATCCCCAAGTCAGTCTACCTAAATTTGCCATTCCAGAAAAATAGAGCATTTTCTTTTGTATTCTCCCTGTTGTTGAAACTGCTTCTCCAGTTAATTGGTCTATTTGGTGTTCTAGGTCTTTCTCATTAAGAGAGATTATTTTCATACGGTAACTTAGTTGACAAAGCTGTTTATTAGTGGTGACTTTCTGGTTTTGGCAATTTTAAAAATATATTTATTTATTTATTTATTTATTTTGCATCTCTTTCCCGTACTGTTTTAGCAAAAATATTTTTTTGTGGATTATGTCCTTTTTGGTAGAATTCAAATAGTTTAATGCTTAATTCTTTTTATAGCCTTATAGACTGCTTTTTGTTGGACTCAGCTCCTCTCAATGTTACTATGTCGCCTACTGGAGATTTTCTGGCAACTTCCCATGTGGACCACCTTGGAATATATCTATGGTAAGTTCTTTCATACAGTTCTCCTATTTTGGTCAGAGGAGGAAGAAGAGGAAGAGGAAGATGATACTGTCAGAGAATCATAGTTGCTAAAATTGCCATTTAGTTTTTTTTCCTTTATCTAACACAGTTAATACACCATTTTTAACTGGTGTTAATAATGGTTAATTCACCATAAGTCTCTGACAGATTCAACATCCGCTTGATAATTTAGACAGCTTTGTTCAAGTGGGTGTTCTAAACCACATAACTGGTTTCTATGTGTTATCATGTTTGGCTTTTATTTGCAGAAAGGGTACGTGAATTCAAAAAGGTTAGCAAAAGAAACTTCCTAGTCAGGCCCTGGCCTTCTTGCCACTACCCCACTACTGCTTTATCATCTTGGCCAGTCACTTCTGAACTTCACACTTTATCTATAAAATAAGGCATAAATGTGTGCAAAGTACTTTATAAGATTTATTCTAGTTGCATGACTCTTTATAATTATGTAAATATATTTGTGTGATCCTTCAAATCCCACTGTAACAAACCTGTAAAGGACTATGATCACTCAAAATAAATGGTGAATCACCTGGGTCTAGAAAAATTTTTGTCTATTTCCTGAGTTTATACATCTAATTCTTTTAACTCTTATTGTTGAGCATGAGAAAAAAAATGATTTGCTTTCTGATTCTAATTATAAAATGTTATACATTTTTAAGATACAAACATAAATTCAATATATAATAGAAATAGATGCTGGCCACCTTAATAAGCAAAATGGTGTATCTCCTGGAGTCTAAGAGTCTTCAACAATGAAAACTAGAATAGTAGCTATGGGACCCAGCAGCAGAAATATGGATCTTCTCTTTGTCGTACTGCTATTAATATAACTCAGAACCTGAGATTCCTAATTTTTATTTTCCTTTTTAGATTCATAATGTGTGGGGGAAAGAATCTGTCCCCAAAGGACAGGTATCTACATCTTGATTAGTCATCCATAGCCAAGATGCAGGGTCAAGTAGCGAAAACAGAGCCGCTTAGAGAGGGCCATTCTGAGAATGGAAACTCATTACATTCAGCAGCCCCAAGAATATGATCAGCATATTCACTCTCTGATTTACTCTCTGACTCCATCTTTCCTTCTGTTATAATTTCCTTAAATGATGATTGGTATTTGTCAAAACAATATATGGAGGTTATTTTAGTTTATAAAAGAGACCATTACTGGTCTCTCTTAAGTAAACATGTTTTTCTACTATATTAGAAATAGAGACTCAATGTTTTTACACAACTTTTTTTGTGATGGCATCTATGACAGTAAATCAAAGCATTTTCAAATTAATACAATCTATCTTTGAGGCCTTTTCTTCACTAATAAGTGATTATAGTGTTTAGCCAAATTCAAGATTATAGAGATTATTACCAGTAATTAAAGTTTCTCTAAAGAAGTTGTTCTTATAACTTTTAAAATATTACTTATGTTTTAATTCCTTAGGTCCAATATTTCCCTGTATTCAGTTGTTTCATTACGGCCACTTCCTACAGATTATGTCCCTTCAGTCGTGATGCTTCCTGGTACTTGTCAAACCCAAGGTAATCACAAAATTGCAAAATAATTTTTGAGGTATAATATAATAAAACTAATACAGGGAATATTGCTCCTGAAGGCAAAGTTGAATGCATTCAATTAAAGTGGTTTTTTTTGTTTTTTTTTTTTGACCGGTAAGGGGATCGCAACCTTCCACACGGTGTGGTATGCACCACGCTCAGCCAGTGAGCGCACTGGCCATCCCTATATAGGATCCGAACCCACAGGCTTGGCTCTACCAGTGCCACACTCTCCTGAGTGAGCCACGGGGCCGGCCCCAATTAAAGTGTTTTTTAAGTGATATGAAATATTTTGAATGACTTCATGAATTTATGCAAAAATATAATTGATATGGTGGTATTGATAAAATACCAAATAGTTTATCAGTGAAAAGGTGTTTTCAGTATGTTGTTGGGAGTTGTAGTTAATATAAGAAAAAGAAAGGGTGGGGGGGGTAAGGAAATGAAATAAATGGAAAGAGTTTATGGTGTTATTTAGTGAACATATTATGAAATACGAATGGGTTTGAAATGAGTTAGGTTTATTTGTATAGTAAAAAATCTCATTTTGCACTAATTTGTTTCACTTAAAATTATTTTTTAAGATGTAGAAGTATCAGAAGAAACAATAGAACCAAGTGATGAAATGATAGAGTATGATTCGCCAGAACAACTGAATGAGCAATTGGTGACTCTTTCACTTCTCCCTGAATCACGGTGGAAGAACCTTCTTAATCTCGATGTAATTAAGGTAATACTATAGTACATTTAATATTGCCCTAAGCACACATTCCAGAAGCATTTTTTGTTGTTGTTAGCAGAGTTAGCTTCCTCTACTTTGAGGGCATTAGGATGAGCCATTAATGTATAAGATAGCAAAGACCATGCCTTTTTATGAAATGCTGTTTAATATGGTGTGATTATCACAACATTCTCTCTCTATGTCAACTTTGAGAGCACTCAGCAGACATTTGGATGTGGCAAAAATACAACCTGCAAAAACTACAGAGCTATGAGAAATAGGATATTTTAAAATCCAACCTAATAAGTTACTTTTTGAGCTTCTAAAACAAGAGGAAGAAAATTGCTACCATAAAGTGTGTATTTCTACTGCTCGGCATTTGAGGACCAGGAAAATTTCACTAGGCTTTGATTTTTATTAAGCTGCAATTAATCTTTTTATCATCCCATTCCATACACTGTTAACTACAAAAAGATTTTTAGAGCTTGCTGTGTCAGGGTCAGGCATGTATAATATGAACTAAGTGCTAAATAATGTGCCAAGACTATGGTGGTGAAAAAAAACCTAGCTTATTTTATCCTTGAGGAATTTACAATTTAACATAAAAAATTGACAACTGTGATATAGATTAGTGTTTTTCAAAGTGTGTTTCCTAACCCCCATTTGTGAGTAGCGAAAGCATTTGAAAGAAATAGAGTAGAAATTTTTAGGTTATCTTCTGAAGATAAGAGTAAGTATTGTTTTATGAAACTTGACTTGGTTAGATATCCACATACACATATTCACTAGAGCTTATGTGTATACTGTCACAGTGTGGGCTGTGGTAAAAAGTTTAAGGAACACTGACATAGATAACTATAATAAGATGCACTCATTATTCTTATAACCAATAACATAGCACCAGAGAAGATATTTGTGTCTTGCGTTAGGAAAGAGAAGCTTTCACATATTAAATTTCCTTACAGAAGTTAAAAGTGCTTCTTTTTACTAACTCTTTGAGAGATTGGGCATCAGGATAAAGGTATGCTGTCTAGCATAGTTGTGAAATTTCTCCATCATGTTGTCTAGTCTGTCATCTCTATTTCTTTATGGAACAGCTTTAAGAGCAAGGCATTAAAAAGTACAAATAGATGAGTGTGAGAGGAGCAATCAACATAATGTCCAACTAATTGAGCAAAGTTTTTGACTACTCTGTACCTCAGTAAGATAGTTGGTACTGCATAAAATTTTATGTAGAAACTTGAGTTATCTTTATGAGAAAAATATGTTAAAACCTCTGTTTTTATTTCTGGCTGAATAAAAGAAGATAATGGACCAAGACTATGTTTTACATTTGTCCTGTGAATAACTTTCCTACTTTTGCTTTTCTTTGTGAGATTAGGTAATTTCCATAGCCCTATGGAGGTCCCCAAGACCCTTTGTTTTTTACAAATCAGTGACTATCCCCCTTCTAACTCAAGAATGGCCAGGCAGAAGAGTAGCTGTGACTCTCATTATAGTCTCCACATCCCAAAGAAGTGCTGTGCTTCCTCTGCAATTGGCAGTGCTTTGTCCTGCTTTTGTGTAATAATTTTCTTTTATACTGTGGCTCCATAAGGCCACAGGTATCCCACACTTTCTTTCAAATAAAAAATCTCCCGAGGGTTACAGAGCCCTTGAAGAATGGAAGAATAGTATAAGGTAAAATCGTAAGACTCCTTTATTAGGCACTTTACCATAGAAAGTCTCTTTCATCAGATGCTCCTGAGATAGTGATATGTAGTAGTGTATTCACCAAAACAAAATTCTATCAGTGGGGATTTTGATGGAGTTTTTCCTAATAGAATTTTACTAACACTTGAAATATTTTATTAACCAGCAATCATGTTCTCTTGCTATATAAAAGCACAAGGAAAGTACTAAGAAAAGAGTTCCCTTTTCTTCACATCCTCAACAGCATTTGTTGGTTTTTATCTTTTGGTAACAACCATCCTAACTGGCGTGAGATGATATCTCATTGTGGTTTTGATGTGCATTCCTTGATGATTAGTGATGTTGAGCATTTATCATATACCTGTTGGCCATGTCTTCTTTTGAGAAATGTCCATTTAGGTCATTGCCCATTTTTTAATTGGACGTGTTTTGTTTATTTTTTGCTGTTGAGTTGTTTAAGTTCCTTGTATATTCTGGATATTAATCCCTCGTTGGATGAATAGTTTGCATATATTTTTTCCCATTCTGCAGGTGCCTCTTCACTCTGTTGATTGTCTCCTTTGCTATACAGAAGCTTTTTGATTTGGTATAATCCCATTTGTCTGTTTTTGCTTTCATTGCCTATGCTTTTGAAGTCTTCTCCATAAAATCTTTGCCAAGACTAATGAGTTGAAGCATTTCACCTATATTTTCTTCAGTAGTTTTATAGTCTGGGGTCTGACATTTAAGTAACCCATTTTGAGTTGATTTTTGTACATGGTGAGATATGGGGTCTAGTTTCATTCTTCTGCTTATAGTAGGAATGTAAATTAGTACAACTATTATGGAAAAACAAAATGGAGATTCTTCAGAAAACTAAAAGTAGAACTACCATATGATCCAGCAGTCCCTCTACTGTATATTTATCCAAAGGAAAGAAAATCAGTATATGAAAGAGATATACTGCACACCCTCGTTTATTGCAGCACTGTTCACAATAGCCAAGATATGGAATCAACCTAAGTGTCCATAAGCATATAAATGGATAAAAAAAAAATGTGGTATACATAATGGAATACTACTCAGCCATAGAAAAGAATTAAATCCTGTCATGTGTGGCAACACGGGATGAATCTGGAAGACATGTTAAATGAAATAAGCCAGGCACAGAAAGATAAATACCTCATGTTCTCACTTATATGTGGGAGCTAAAAAAATTAAGCTCATAGAAGTAGAGAGTAAGATGGTGGTTACTAGAAGCTGGGAAGGATAGGGGACAGGGGGACATAGGGAGAGGTTGGTTAATAGATACAAACATAGTTAGGTGGGAAAAATAAGTTGTGGTGTTCTATGATAGTGCTAGGTGACTATAATTAACAGTACTTTATTGTTTATTTTCAAATGGCTGGAAGAGAGGAGTTCAGATGTTCTCAACACAAAGAAGTAGTAAATATTGGCAGTAATGGATATGCTGATTACCCAGATTTGATTATTATACATCATATACGTGTATCAAAATATTACCCTGTACCCCATGAATATGTACAATTACTACGTGTCAATTAAGAAATAATTTAAAAATAAAAAATTACATTTAAAATTTTTTTAAAAAGGAAAGTACTAAGGAAAAACCAACAAAAATTACAAAAAAATAGAAGAATTAGGGACATACTTTACAAAAGAATTCATCAAATTACTTCTAGTGGTAGAGTCTGCTTCTAGCTCCAAATTTTTAAGAGAAAAGTAGTTTGGAAAAGTGTTTTATATTAAGCATTTATGTCAATTTTGCTTTCTGTCTCATTTTGCGAAAGAGGTTGTACTCAATACTAAAGTTCAAAATTACTTAATTGTTATGTCTTCAACTGAATATTCATGTCAATATTCATATTTCAGGAAGATGAACTACCTTTGTCTTAGAGCTTCTCCTGCTGTCATTTTCCTTGATCCTTATCAGCAAGGGTGCTATAGGTCTGCATTGGGAATCCCTAGCTAAGGATAGCTATGGTATTGGTCATTAACATTCTAATCTGAAAAAGTTTTATTCCTTTTTTATTTTTTGGTATTTGTTTTAAAATTTATTTGGAATTAAATACTAGAAATTGTTGGCAGAATAATTACTTATTAGCTTTTTTCTCTTCCTCATGTTCTCTTAATCAGAAAAGAAATAAACCAAAGGAACCACCCAAAATACCCAAATCAGCACCATTTTTTATTCCAACGGTTCCTGGCCTTGTACCCAGATATGCTGCACCTGAACAAAATAATGATCCCTAATATCAAATGATTCATATAAAAATGGTTGTACGTGTATGGAGTATATTTTTGTAGGATGCGTATGAAACAATAGTGCTTCTAGGGAGAGGAACTAGGTTTGGGGTGATAAGAATAAGAGACAAAGTATTTCTTCTTTCATTCTGTGTATTTCTGTATTATTAATATTTCTTAGAGATCATGTGGTACTTTTATGGTTTTATAACAATAAAAAGAAAGAGGGCTGGCCCCATGGCGCACTCGGGAGAGTGTGGCGCTGGGAGTGCAACAACACTCCCACTGCGGGTTCGGATCCTATATAGGACTGGCCGGTGTGCTCACTGGCTGAGCGCGGTGCGGGTGACACCACACCAAGGGTTGTGATCCCCTTACCGGTCGCGAAAAAGACAAAAAACAAACAAACAAACAAAGAAAAGAAAGAAAGAAAAATAAGTTTTCTTATCCTACTCCCAGTGGTGACCACTATTAATAGTTTCATATACACTTGTATAGCCTTCTTATGTTTTGTTCTGATTGATTTATGAGTATTTTAGCATGTGTGTTGTAAGGCATTAGATTTTAATAGGAAAAAAGTTTAAATTACTGAAAATACAGAAAATTTAGTGCTTTTAATACTTTTAGTACTTTTTATTGTATTGCTCTCATCATTTATGGATTTTCACTTATGTTGAGGTTCACTCAACCCACAGCAATAATTTCCTGTTCCATTTAAATATGTCTTGTTTGGGGTATGAAAGGAAAACTTTAATTTCCTAAATGAAGTGATGGTACGTAATAATTGGATTCTTTTTAACACTTGATGCAGATGAAGCTGCTCTCAACCTTCTGAAAGAATTAGGCCCATCAGGGATTGAGACAGAGTTGCGAAGCTTGTCTCCTGATTGTGGAGGGTCTATAGAGGTCATGCAGAGCTTCTTGAAAATGATCGGGATGATATTAGACAGAAAGCGTGATTTTGAGTTAGCCCAGGCATACCTTGCATTGTTTCTAAAGGTAAGTCTATAGTAAATACTTTACAGCTAGCCTTCCTTTATAGCAGTGTTATCTAATAGAACTTTTTGTGAACATGGTAGTATTCTGCATCGACACTGTGCCAATATGGTAGCCACTTGCCAAATGTGGCTGTTGAATACTTGAAATGTAGCTAGTGTGACTGAGACTGAATTTTTAATTTTATAGGATTTCAATTAATTTAAATAGCCACATGTGTCTAGCGACTACCACATTGGACAGCTGGACAACATAGCTTGGTAGTTTTTGTGTTTTTGTGGGTTTTTTTTAACTCAACTGCACAACAATTTTGTCCCTACCCCCTGACATTTTTGTGTAATCCATTTGATCCAATATGCTGAACCGTTAACTATTTTTTTTTTAATTGGTTATGAGTATTCATGAGATACAAAGCTGATTGTCACCTGGCTGTATACCCATTACCACAAATTGCATTTGTACCCCATGTCCCCCACCCAGTTATCCCCAACCTTCCTCCCCCACCCCCTTTCCCCCCGACTACACTTTGTAGCCCAAGGAATGTTCTCTCCCTCTGCAAGTCCAGTGCTCTACTGTGGTCTTTCTTTCCTTCCTTCTTTCTCTCTTAGCTCCCACTTATGAGTAGGTACATGCTGTATTTATCCTTCTGTGGTTTGCTTCTTTCACTCAACATAAGTTTCTCCAGGCTCATCCATGTTGTTGCAAATGGGAGTATTTTCATTCTTTTTTATGGCAGAGTAGTATTCAGTGGTGTATATATATCACCGTTTCCTTAACATTTTTTTAATAGTTACATTTTGGAAGTTTTTCTGTGATCATGACAAGAAAGTCAGGTTTTATATTGTTTTTCCTACTGCTGAAATAAAAAACCTCTGTCATGATTGAAAGAGTTTCAAGTGATTTGGCAACAACAGAGCTGCTTTTATGACTGACATAATGGGGACCTCATGGTTTGAAGGTCTACTTTAATGATATACTAAAGTATATCAGGAAGGTGGTAGATGATGCTGATTTTCAGTGATAACAGGTATGACTCTTCACTATCCCATTAATACTTAAAATGCGTTTTCACTTGATCTGATTATTTTTAAATTATCTAAAAGTGAGATATTTAGCTAGTAACATGTAGGATTAAAAAATAGAAACTACACAAACTGTTTCCATTACCTTTTTCTAAATTTTTCAAGTTTTAGTCACTGAATACAATTTACTTAAAGTTTTAGAAAATAAAGGACTCATCTGCCATTCATTACCAATGGGTAATGAAAAGAGAAACATAGAAGCACAGAAATGTGGATTTAGTGTTAGAGCTAGGACCTTGTTTCTGGATCTGTATCAGGCCTGTTCTTAGGTGGAGGAGAGTGATGACCACTTTAATCCTACTAAGGGAGTAACAGTCTCATACAGTACTTTTTTTTTTTTTTATCAAAAAAAAAGTTTGATAAAGGAGAGAGAAATGAGAGATAGTAATAAACCTGCATTTAAGGGAAAAAATGTTCAAATAGTATCTTCTGAGGTTTCCTTGGTAGAAAAATTGAATCCAGGCTAGATAAAGTTCTAATTTTCTTAAATGTTTAACCGTCATATTTTTCTTTTCAGTTACACCTTAAAATGCTTCCTTCAGAGCCAATACTCCTAGAAGAAATGACAAAGTTATCATCACAGGTGGAAGAAAACTGGATCCATTTACAATCACTCTTCAATCAAAGCATGTGTGTTTTAAATTATGTCAAAAGTGCTTTGTTATAAAAATAAACTCAAGTGACTAAATAAATCAAAGACACATATTAAATGGGTTCAAATTTAACTTATTTATTTTCCAAGTTTCAATGTGAGAGGAAAATAAATGCTAGCACTGTTTACTAGTCAGTAATTCTCCACTTTAAATGTTAAATACTTTCTTGAAATTAAATTACACCTACCTTTTGTTTTTAAGCCCTGAGGAATCTACTCAAATGGATCTCAGTGTCAGATCCAGATTTTCCAACATTCACCTAGTTCTTTCTCCTTTGTAGCCTTCCTGAAGGAAATATTTCTTGGATCAGAAATGTAGGAGGCACTTGCCCAAGGCAAATTGTTACAGGAGGTTAAACAGATACCTAGGAAAGGTAAGGGAAATTCCAAATTTCATTGGAGGTTGTCCTTCAAAGGTTTCTCTTCCTCACTGATGACCTTTTTATTTGGGAAGAAACCGCCGACCATACTTTTCTTTTACAACCATTGCAAAATCAGGTAGGTCTGGCAAGTTTTCTCTTTTCTCATCATCGTTTTCTTTTTATGGCTCAAGACTTTAGCAAGGTGTGAATTTAAAATAAGCAGTTCTTAAAAGCACAGTGCTCTAAGAACTATTCTTAGTTTATATGCTCAAAAGTAGTATCATTCATGAAATGCAGCTGGTTGGATTTGAACATCAATAACATTCTTTTTCAACATTAGGATAAGAGGGCTTTACAGAATAATTTCCAGAAGGAGCAATCCTCAAAAGGAGTTGACAATGATACCTTAATATAAAGTATTTTTGTTTAATGGTGTAAGGTAGATTAGTAAATTACTAAGGAAATAAGCCAATCTGATTTTGTACTCAATTTTGTTCTTTCTTTTTGAAATGTGTATTATTAAAGCTACTGACTGAAATGTTAATATTGACTTAAGTTCTGACTTTAAGAACTATTTCCCTCTTTCCCAAATACCATATTCTAAAGGTATGGCAAAATTCCATTGTACGATCATGTACCTAGTAAGGATTGTAAATAGCTAAAACAAAATGATGAGCTATGAACTGAAATTGTATTGCTTATACAAATCATGAACTAATTTTTTCAAATGAGAATACAGAGTTAAGTATATTTTTTTTATTGAAGATATCTTTCAGTAGTATTACAGCATCATTTTGGCATGTAGTCTTCCAGAACCTTTTCTCTGCATTTGCTATTAAGGGAGGGAGGGAGAAAGAAATACAAAGTATGTTTGTGTGTATATATTTTTCTCAAAATGCATTGGTCTGTGCATATTGCTATATCTTTAAATTAAAATTTAAGTTACACATGTAATGTATGACTGCATTTTACTTATAAAAACATCAGACAAGTCTTTTTTGACACTGTGTTCAATCCCAATACCCTCCTTAGAAGTAATAGTTGTTAGTGCTCTGCTAGATCTTTTTTTTTTTTTAATGATTGTCTGTACATATTATATATAGCCACAGGAAATAAAATGTATAGTTTTGGTTTTTACATAAGTATATGTATATCATTCTGCAACTTGTTTTTTCTACTCATTTTTTATTTTGGTACATTCATGTCTTTACTTTTGCACAGTGTCCCACAATCTATTTTGACTATAAAGGACATTCAAGGGAGTTAACTTATTTTTGTTTTTGTTTTTATTCTAATTACAAACAATGCTGAAATGAATATCATCCTATATGAGTTCTTATATGTATGTAAGGATTTCTGTGTAATATATGTGTAGGATTTGAATTGCTGGGCCCAGGGTATAAGCATTTTTAATTTGAAGAGATACTTCCAGTTGGCTTCCAAAATGGCTGTATCAATTTACAGTTCCCCTCAGCTACAAATGAGTACCTGCTTTCTCATATCATTAAGAACAACTGCTACAGTGCGCCGCTTGGGAGCGTGGAGGCGCTCCCACCGAGGGTTCGGATCCCACATACAGACCGGTTCCCGCTCACTGGCTGAGCGAGGTGCGGGCGCAACACCGAGGGTTGCAATCCCGTTGCCGGTCCCGGTCCGGTACAGGCGCGACACTGAGGGTTGCGATCCGTTGCCGGACACGAAAAAAGACAAAAAAAAAGAACATTTGATATTAAGTTTTTATTAATCAAATGGGTGAAAAAATATTATATTAATTCAAAGTATCTTTTCTCTCCACCACCCATTTTTCTATTAAATGATTTGTCTTTTTATCTCAATGATTTGTTAGGAGTTTTCTTATATTTTACATGTGAATCTTTTATGTCTGTTGCCAATATTTTCTCGCAATTGGCCACTTGTCTTTAACTTTATGGTGTCTTTTTTTAATAGATATTTTATATTTAGTCAAACTGATAAATAATTTTTCATGACTTCTATTTGAAGATATAAAGCAAATTCCCATTTTCTAAGATGTTTATCATGTTTGTTTTCTGTGTTTGCACGTGTTCATTTCCCATTGATTATTTTTTTCTAAGATGTGCATCTGTGTGCGCGGTTAATGTCTAGATCTTTATCTGGAACTGAAGTATGTGAAGAGTGTAAGGTAGAAAGCTGCTTTTATTCAAATACCTGTTCAAAATTCATTTATTGAAAAGTCCGGGCCAGCCCAGTGGCGCACTGGAGAGTGCGCCGCTTGGGAGTGCGGGGGCACTCCTGCCGAGGGTTCGGATCCCATGTGGAGACTGGTTCCTGCTCACTGGCTGAGCACGGTGCAGGCGCAACACCGAGGGTTGCGATCCCATTGCCGGTCCCCAGTACGGGCGCGACACTGAGGGTTGCAATCCCATTACCGGTCAGTAAAAAAGACAAAAAGGAAAGAAGAAAACAAAGAAGAGTCCATTTTTTTATCTCTGATACGAAATACTGCTTCATTATGTGCTAAATTCTTTCATTTGATATTCTTAATAAATAATGCATTACTTTCATTATAGTTTGGTATGTTTTCAGATTTGATGGAGTAAAGCCTTCCTAATGTTTTACAAAAATTTCTTGGCTACTGGTGAGCATATTTTCCTGAAGTTCTGATTTGGGTTGCGCTAAATTTATAGGATTGAATGGAGAGAAGTACAATACTGAGTATTTCTCTTCAAGAACAATATACGTATTTATTAAATCAGATCTTTTGTGGGTGAGCTTCTCTTGATTTCATTGGTTTTTTAATATAAGACACTTTTTGATAGACTTATTTCTGGGGATTTTATTTTTATTGCTACAGAAAAATCTCTTTCTCTAATACATTTTATAATTGGCTATTGCTGTCATGGTAAAAGTGATTTGATTTTTATATCCTGATCTATCATAACACCTCAGAACTGTTACTTATTTTAAAAGTTTGTCAATATATTCTTCCTAGAAAATCCAAGACAATTTTATCTCCTGAAATTGACGAGACTTTATTTCTTACCGGATATTCATATTTTATTCAGTTGTTTGTTGTTGGAATTGCTTTAGCTGTGATCTAGCCCAGAATATTAGCAGTCCTTAGCAGAAATTTTTGTCTTGTTGCTGATTTCAGTTGGAAATGCTCTTACTATTTTACCATTAAGAATGATGCATGCTCTGAGTTTCTGGTAAATATCTTTTCTTAAATTCTATTTTATTACTAATTTGATGCTTTTTAAAAATTTAAACTAGAGGTAAATATAAAATTTTACCAAGTGACTTTTCAGCTTATATTAAAGGACCAAGATCTTAAATTAGTGTAATTTAATGAATTTAAATTAAAGATTTTTAATATCAAATCATATTTTATTCCTGGTATAGACTGTTTATAAGTAAGATGAAACTGGTCCATTTATCTGTTTCATGGAATTGTCTATCCTTGATTTTTTTTTAAAAACTTGCTTAATCAAAGGGGGAAAAAATCTTGCCTAGAGTCTTTATTACACCATCTTTTTCTATTTAATTTCTTCTATGGTTATTTAATTAATTGGGTTTTCTTTCTCTTCTTAAGCCAATATTGGTAATTATATTTTGCTTAAAAATCAAAAGTTTAACCTAGGTTTTCAATTGTGTTAGTATAAGTTATATGTAGGCTGATGCCTTTTTATTAATTGCTTGGTTGCAAGCAACAGAAGCCACTCATACACAAAAGTGTCTGCAAAGTCCAGGAATAAAATTGTCATAACCTACTGCTAGGTCCACAGGTTCCTTGGTGAGTTTCTCCATTTCCCCTTTTTGATCTCATATTGGAACTGCTCAGCCAAGATCTCTCCTCACTCACTGATTCATCAGATACTTATTGAGGACCTGTTGTGCACCAGAATTGCTTATTAGTGCTGGGAATGTATTAGTAATCAAAACTTGAGGCAGGCAATACAGCTGCCAACAGTTCTGAATTTGCATATTCTTCTTAAACTAGTTAGAAAGTGATTCTCTTTAAGCAAGTCCTGAAGTAGAATTTCAATGAGCCTACTTAGACTTTGAGCCAGTCACTGGCCAGAGGGATTTAGTGCTTTGATCAGCTACATTTGGGTCACATGTTGAATCCTGAAGAGGGGATGGAGACACCCTGCAGAACCACATGGATTGAAATAGAGTAGTCACCCAAGGAAAGAGGGGCTCTGTGATAAGATGAAGGCAGAAGGCAGGCAAAAACATCAAATATCTACTACATTTATGTCTAGAAATGTGGTACTTCTTCCTGAAGAATCAGTTTTATAGGTTTCTTACCCAGGATCTGGAGAAGCATTTTTTAAAATTTTTGTGCACTTGAAAGTTTTATGTTTTAAAGTTGCTAAGGGTGGGAAAAATGTGGAGTGATTGAAATACATACTCTTGTGTTAAGGAGCATGTTGAGCAAAAATTTCAGAAGGTTATTGGTTTGGACTGAGCCCTTGCACTAGGCCCCAGCAGACCAGACCAAACCAAAAATGGAGTCACTCATGCTAAATGCCACATAAACTGAAACTTGAAGGAAGCAGATAGATCCCAAAACAGACCAGCTTTTTCCTGAAAACAGGAAATTCCAGTCTACCTGAGTCAGCATAATAAGAATGCCTCCTCTGCTTTAACCCTTACAAAACTAACTTTATGTTGACCAATCAGTTTTTTTTCCCCTATTGTTCCTTTTCCTTGGTCCCACTCTACAAATCCCTCTGTTCTGCCATTGCCCCACGGAAGCATTCATTCTATTTTGTAGAATGGAGGCTGCCCCCATTGAATTGCAAATAAAAGCCAATTAGATATATAGCTAAATCTGTTGCAATTTTGTCTTCTAACAAGCTAAATTGGCATTGTAGTCGAAGTGCACGCGGAGAGTCAGGGCATTGAGACAAGGTTTTACTTTGTGACTGCCTGCAAGGCCAGTGTTAATATATTTTAAACAAAATAGAATGAGAGCTTCTGTGGGGCAATAGCAGAACAGAGGTCTTTGTAAGATGGGAACCAGGAAAAGGAGCAATAGGAGAAAAACTGATTGGTTAACATCAAGTTACTTTTCTGTAAGGGTTAAAGCAGAGGGGACTTCCGTATTACGCTGACTCAGGTAGACTGGAATCTCCTGTTTTCAGGAAAAACTGGATTGTTTGGGGGATGTTTCTATCATATATTAGGACTCTCAATTGCAAGTTACAGAAACCTTTGGTGTTTAAGCAGGAAGGGGGTTTATTTAAAGAATTCAGGAATACTGGGTTATCTCATAAAGATAGGTCAGTTTGCTGTCAGGAATTTTTTGTAACCAGGGACTGAAACACTGGGAAACTCAAGAAGTAACCTTTGAATTCTGCTTTTCTTTGCATGCTGCTTCATTCCTTTCACTGTGGACAGACATCTTCTGCAATCAGTGCCTGCTGAAGGCAGTCAATAACCCACTTGATGTGAAACCTCTTCCTAGAGTCCAAGATTGGGTAATGAGGACTCAAAATTCTCTCTCAGGTCTTCAGCTTCCCCATCACTTATCTCACTTCCTTTTCTCCCTCTAGAGCCCAGAGAAGGGGAATCCCTTTGTTTTCTTCCTTTCTGTCATCTCACCATCCTACAGGGACAAAAGAGGGAAGGCTTTCCCCCTCCTACTTCCTGGCTTCACCTCTCTTATAACCCTGTTCAATAGAAAGCTATCATCTCACTGAAAAATCCTATCTTTGAATGTCAGAACATGAGTATTGGCATAGTATTTCACCTTACAATCCTGCCAAAAATGCTGATCTCTTTCCAAGGGTTCGGTTGCCTCAGGTAATTCAAGAAAAGGTGACTGGTATGCTTGGAAGGGCAAAGAAAGAACACATCAGTCTTTAAAGTACTTTTCTTACACATATTTCATCATTAGTCTTAATTCAGCAGACTCTCTTGCTACTGTGAATAGTTTGAGAAAATGAAAGTCTCAAGCCAAGATCATT